AGGCCTTGTTTCTTCTTCATATTTGCAATTTAACTGCTAATTCGCTTACTTGAAGCCCCACGTAAAGCAGCTATCTGTCTGACCGGCAGATTCTGAGCAGGGGCTGACAGGATGAGCAGAAGGGGGTGCACCCATGGCAGAGGGTGCCAGCCACAAGAAGCTGCTGGGCCAGCCCTGGGCCCCCAGGTGCTCCAGAGGAAGGCGGACTAGGGGCGTGGGAGGCCAGCAAGTGGAGACCCATGGCAGGTGCCTGTCTGCCTCTGAAGGGGATAGTGGCCAGAGCCCAGAGGTGGAGAGTTGGTTCCTAATTTTCAGATGGAATTTCCATCCTGTCCTGTTGAGTCTCCGATCCATTTCCTAGAAGTGCCTGGGTGCCCAGTCCTTGGGTCAAGGTGTCCAAGTTCTGGCTAGGAGGCCCCTCCCGGGCTTGCCCGCGTGGAGCTAGGTGGCGGGTGTGCTGCACTGGAACTTGCCCTGCTCTGTCTCTCCTGGTCCCTGCCTGCCTTTGAAGAGAGAAAAAGGGCTCTGGAATGCTGAAGTGAGGGAGTGACTGTTCAGACCCCGACTGGGGCGTCCGCATTGTCTCCGCGCTGTCCTCGCTTCCGTCCCCCTGCGCCGTGAAGAACAGCCCTCGAGAGCGATGCTTCCACGGACGCAGGTGCCAGTGAAAGTGAATCAACGAGGGCAGCGGGCACCGCGGTTCCGAGCCCGGCTCTTCCGCAGTGTCTCTCCTGCGTGCCAGCAGCCAGGCCTGGCAGCCCCTCTCTTCCTATATTTCTGTGCCAGGAATAGACAGCCCACCACCTGAACAGCAGAGGAAGAGAATACACAGGGCTCCGGCACTCCAGATTGCCAGCAAGACAGCTTGCGCCACACGGGGGGCCTGGAGGGGGACTTGGAGATCATCTGGGGATTTCAGGAAAGAACATTCTCCAGGCACTCCTGCGGTATCAGACAGGCATAGCCACGGTGGCGTGAACGGCCGGGAGCCCCACGCCAGCGCGCCCCCCTGCACCCCACAGAGCTGTTCCCCGAGGAAACCGGGCTCTCCCGCTTCAAAAACCAGGAGGCCGTTTTTCACGAAGGTACGAGAAAAATCTGGCCCGGCTCACTGGTGCTTACCCATCAAGGCCAAGGAAAAGTGAACAGGGTGGCTTTCAGTCACAGCTGACTGCTGCGTGGAAGCCCAGGTGTGGCCTACGCCCGCTCGGCCCGTGCTGCCCCGGGATGAAGGGCGAACGTCAGAGAGCGAGCTCGATCGAGGAATGGGCAGAGCTCTAGAATCCTTCCCCGGGCAGGAGGGTGCTACCCGGGAGCCGCCGCCTCGCCAGCATTCGGCGTGTTTGTGGAGATCGGGACTGTGGTCCTCGGGCCCTGACGCTGAGCTGTTGTTCCCAGCTCCCCGGGGTACAGACAGAAATGTCCCATCGTTTTGGTAACAGCTTTACTGAGATGAAAATGACATGCGAAACAATTCACCCCTTTCAAAGTACACAATTCAGTGGCGTTAGTCTGTTCACAGAGCCGTGCAGCCTTCACTGCGATCAGTTTGAGACCATTTTCACCACCCTAAAAAGAAACCCTGTGCCCGTCAGCAGCCACCCGTTCCCCCTGAGCCCCAGTCCACCCCACATACCCGTCTGTGGAGACTTGCCTTCCCGGCAATTCTGGACATTTCAGGTAAGTGGAAAACATTCCCATTTCGCAGCACCTCTGTCAGTGGGAAAGCCAGACTCGGAGATCCCCAGGGAGGCCCCAATCCTCCAGCGTCAGGAGTTTTTCTAACAAGGACTTGATGATAGAGGGAATGGCCTTTATCTGCGGCCCCTAGAGATGGACTTCGAATAGGAAACATTAGAGATTGTTGCCCCTGTTTCTAGACAAAACTTTCAATGCATCTGACAGAGAATTTCTTAATGGCTTTGCTCTTAAGCATTATTACAAAATTAGAATGCTTTGAAGACTTATGTCCATTTTTTTCCCATTTTCCAGGTAGCAGAAGGTCAGGAAATTTGTGTGATTGAAGCTATGAAAATGCAGAACAGTATGACAGCTGGGAAAACTGGCAAGGTATGTCCCCAAGTTCCCGCCAGCCCACGCTGGCCTTGCGATGGAAGCAGAACTTCCACTTTGAGCCATGGACAGTTGGCCTGAAAGGGACCCCGGGGGTGATCTCTTCTAAAGCCCCCTTCACAGAGGGCATTAGGATTGCCGGGCTCTTCTCACTGTCACTGATGTGTCCCTGCCTTGTGGAAAACGGGCCTTACAAAAAAGTCTGTGTGTTACGTTCAGGTAGTCAAAGAACAACTGTTCTTCACTTTAATGTCTTTCAAATTAAGGAGTCTTTAATTTTTAATGTTTACATCTGTCTCGGAGGCAGTTAGTTATCTGAGACTTCTGTGACACAGCAGGAAACGGTTTTACAGATTGCAAAAATTAATGCAACTCTTCAAGATAATTTCTGCACGAAGAGGACAATTCAATTTCAGATCAGGGGCTAAGCCCATGCACACATGCACAGCTGAATGATCGAGGGAGGAAAAAAGAGATCTGATAGTTTTGAAATTTGTTAAGGGCAAAACTTGCTTCAATGCATTTTTTTTTCCTTGAAGAAAATGTTATAGAAAAGTCCTTTTAAGCAATAACTTCATTATTCTACCTGCGACTAAAAAATGCCATTAGTGGGTAAATGATCCTTTTCTGAGGGATGTTTTCGTTTGGAAGTATCTGCATGGTGGAGTGTGACTGGGGGCGGGGCTGGGGACAGCAGCAAAGGCCAGCTGTGTCCTGCATGCGCTGCATCGTGGGGATGTCAGGTGCAGAGAGAGATCCGTCCACTCACACCAGGTTTGTAGCAGAGAGCCGGAGCCTCTGTCTCATGGTCTGTCACCCCAGAGGCAATGAAACTGCTTCTCAGAGAAGGGCCAGGGTCACCCTGCTTGGTCCCAGCTGGGCGAGCAGAAGTCCAGGTGCATGCTCAGGTGGGCCCTGAGCCGGCAGCTACATGTCTCTGTGGGGTTTTAGAGGGTAGAATGGCATGATTTGCAGCCTTTTAGGAATTCTTTCTAAATTTAATCACTTTTTTAAAAAGTGAACAAGAAAACATTGGTTTCTATTAATGTGAAAATGGTTTTTTTGTTTATTGGGGTTATTTAAAGTTTATGCTGCACTAACATCGTGACATTTCCATCCCTGAGGAGAACTTGGTCATGGGGGACAGAGCTGTGTGTCCAAAGCGTGCCAAGGCCCCCATGCCGCTGGACCAAGGTGCTAATGTTAGTGCCCTGATGGAGTGTGGTCCCATCTGTCAGCATGTTTTATTTCCTCGTGGCCTGGGTCTCTGTCACCCTCAGCAGCCCACAGCTGCTTTTCAGGGTGTCGATAGGCACCGGTGACCTCTGTCTCTTGGCCTGACCCCTGTGAACTGGAGTCCTTCCTGCCCGTTCTGTCCCCCTCTCCCCATCCCCAGGCCTCCTGAATCCAACCCAGCAGGGCCCCGGAGGAGTGACTCGAAGCCCCATGCAGAGTAGCAGGCCCTGCTTCTTACCTGGGAGGGTCACTTTTCCTCCCAGAGAAGAGGCTCACGAAGGAAAGAGATCCTTTACTCTAATGATTGAAGCATCATTAAAAATACATCATGGACAAACATCCGAGGCAGCCTCTTCAGTGCAACAGCATCTGCGAGCCAGGCCTTGGAAATATCCACTGCATAGGTTCACATCGTTCTTAAAGACCCTGGGTTCCAGTTTAAGAAAAAAGTCCCTTCCAGGGTGCATACTGTGGAGGGCAGCGACACAGGCCAGTGCACCAACCCAGATGCCACTGGCGTCTTTCATGTTTGCCAGCTGCCCATGTGGCCAATCATTTCCAACCCATTGTCCATTTTCCTGCCCATGCAAGAGCCTCCAAAAAGTCAAATGACTGTCCCTTCTCTACTCCAGCCACCTCCTTTCAGCTTTAAATCTGAGCACAAATTTGGGAAAGCAAAACTTGATAAAAATCAAGAGAATTTGGTAGAAGGCGCAGTTCCACATTCCCATATGGTGCCACAAAGGGCAGCCTGTCCAGCCACACAGCTTCCGAATATTTCATTTCCTTCAAAAGGAAGGTGATGATCCAGTGAGGGCGGTCCTCCTCTTAGTCGGTACCTGTTTTAATTGTTGTGTGATTTTGTCCTTTTTTGTCTTTCACACTAAGTGTCCCATTAGGTTGTAGAACATTTCTACAACCTAAAACCACAGAAAGACGGGGAGGCCGGGTGTGCAGGACTCACCTGGCATGAACCCTTTGGACTTTTAAGATGCTGCCTGGGCCCCAGTGTGCCAGTGCAGGGGCCAGCGAGGCAGCTGCAGCTGACTCCCAGAGGACACCCCTGAGACTGGCAGACCAGGACTGAAGGGATGGGCGTGGGGAAGGTGCAGTCACAGCCACCACAGGGACAAGCCCGTTCGTCAGGATGGGCCCGAGCGCAGCGGCTCGTACCTGTGCCCCCAAGCCTGCGAGGCTGCTCGCTTCCAGAAACAGAGTGAGACTGCTCCCTCCTGTTTCTTGTTAATAATTCTTACCCTCCTCCCGTTTTTTTTTTTTTTTTAATTCAAGGTAAAATCTGTGCATTGTAAAGCTGGAGACACAGTTGGAGAAGGAGATCTGCTCGTGGAAATGGAATGAAGTATTTATAGCCTTTCAGTCATCACCCAATTTAATTAGCCATTTGTATTATTCTTTCACACTCAAGTGATTCCAGCATTTACAGGGACACTCCTGTGCAGCAGGTTTTACGTCGTCATGTTTATTCCACATAAGTCAAACCAACATTCTGCCAAAATATCACCAATGGAAATTTTTTTGATATAAATACTTGTACATATGATTTGTACTTCTGCTGTGAGATTTCCTAGTGTCAAAATTAAATCAATAAAACCAACCATTTGTCTAAATATTAGTTTGCCCTTTTTTTTGAATGAAGACAATGTACACATCGGCTGTGGGCTGTGCCAATAGACTGTAAATACTAGCATTTCTTTGTGATCCTTTCAAAAAGTTTATATGAATTCCAGTTCTCTGCCTTTAGTTTTTTACCAAATTAGCACTCACCATTTTATAATCTGATTCCCTTACTCTGCAGCTGAGAACCTAAGTCCTATTGGTGATTATTTGTAACTTCCTAAGGACCAGAGAGCCTGGATGCTGATTTTGCCAGTCCCCTTCCCGCTGTGGCTCCACGTGGGTGTAGCATTGAGGCTGTCCCCTCAGGAGGCCACCTCCGAGCTTGCTGGCTGACATGGGGTCCGGCCACTCTGCTGAGGAAAAGCAGGCTGCCGTCCTGTCCCCACTGCCACAGGCCTCGGGGCTGCCCCACTCACAGCCGTAGTGGGTGCGGCTGCCACAGGCTCATCAGCTGGTAGTTATCCTCGCCTTTTTGTGTTTCTGTGAAGCAAGTTTCCAATTAAGAAAAAGAGGCTAAAAATAATGATCATGTTTTTGTGCCAGATGCAGTTAGCGATCACAGTCTACCATTAAGTTGAAGCGTAAGTGAGATCTCCCAACGGAGAATGAGGTTGCTAAGGATCAGCAGCTGCATTTTCAGTTGGTTCTGAAATTCTTGGAATACATTTCATACTTTACTGGTGAGCAGAAGCAAAGAGTCGTGCGCCGATTTGAGTCTATGCTGACAAATTATCAGATGGAGGTGGGTAGTAATTGGTACTTCGTGCCTTGCTAAAATTATTTTAAGTGCTGTTTGTATTCGGAAGCTAAGCTGCTGTCAGGCCTGAAGAACAAATTACTAATGTGTTGGTTCTCCTCTGAAAGGCCACCCCCAAAATGCTGCTCCCTCAGGAGGCAGTGACGGGCCTGGCTGCTGAGATCTGGACTCGGATAAACTTCCATTTGAAGTCCGGGTGCTCAGCTGTGTCTGCCAGCAAGTGGGTGTTCGTTATTTTGCTGGATTAAAGTGAAAAGAACCTTCTACCAAGTAAGTATGCCAAAAAAATAAAAGGGGCCAAACATACCACCATTTTAATATTTTGTTTCCTAAAACATCTAATTTTAAATGATCATCTTCAATAGTTTCTATGTAAGCTTGATTTAAAATTGAAGAAGAATAACTATATATGCTCCCAAACTGCATGTTTTCCTTGAGGATCTTTTTTATTAAGTTGAACAACCTAAAATCAGCTTTTATTTAAAAAAATTTTTTTCCTAGGTGCTACAGAACAGAATCAATAGAGTAGGGCTGCTGACATCTGGCCACCACACAAAGTCTTCGCATTCATTTTAAATGTTACCTTCAGATTAAAGCAAAGCAAAAAGGAGGGAGAGGAGGGGAAGAAGAAGAAAGAAAAGTATGATAACATGAGTTCTCCAAATGCCATTTAGGGGAATCAAAATCCTAAATTTTTCTTACCTAGTACATTGAAGCCCATGATGCTCTTTAAGCAGCAAGCAATGTAGTAGTGTTGGAAAGAAAGATTTGGGAAGACGATTGCAAGTATGTCAAAATTTGTAAAATCAGCTGCCATTGAAAGAGATTGTTTGCTTTTCCCACAGATCGAGTTATTCACAAAGACTCTGCCGAAAGGCGCGGCTGTGCTCTTGCACTGAGTGCGCGCACACTGCGCTAACCCACGCCCCAGGCCGTGCCCTGGCAGCAGCGCCCCTGCCCTCCTCATCTGTCCTCCCGGGGGGTGTAGCGCAGCCCGTGCTGCCCCTCGGAGTCGTAGCAGTCGTGGAACGGGAGGTGGACCCACTCGGGCGGGTGGGTGGCCGTGCTGTACACGAAGCACTGCACCGTGGAGTCAGCCGCCAGCGTGTCCTCGGGTCTGCCCTCACCCAGGTCCCTGAGCACCCGCACCGCCACCGTGGTGCGCTGGTACACGTCGGGGCAGCCTTCGAAGTCGTCAAGAAAGCGCAGCATCTGCTCGTCGACCGTGTAGATCTCGCCCTCCACGCAGCGGCCCGTGCCGGGCAGGTTCAGCAGCCGCGGGATGTTGTACTGGCCGGCGATGACCAGCGGGTAGGGCTGCAGCGTGCGGCCGCGGGCGCAGAAGGCCGCGGAGCCGTTGGCGCCATCCAGCATGACCTTGTGGTTGGGCTGGCCGCGCTTCAGGGTGCCGTACAGGAAGACGTGGGCCATTGGGACGGAGCGGCTGCAGAGGAGAAAGGAAGCGGGCGTGTCAGCCAGGGGCAGCAGCGGGGCGCACGCTCGCCTGCGCGGGGCCCGGAGACGCTGCGGGCTCCGTGGGCTGCGGCCCTCCCAGCTGCTCGCTCTGCTGGTCTAGGCCGGACGGGAACGCATGCGCGTCGCCGCGCTCCGTACGGCTTTATTCCCGGACACAGAAACTAGAATGTCATACAGTTTTCATGTCATGAAATGTTGTGATTTTTTTCAGCCACTTAAAAATGTAAAAAAGCCACTCTTAGTTTGTGGGCTGTTCAAAAGCAGACAGCAGGCCCGACCTGACCTGTGGGCTGCAGTCTGCCATCCCTGGTCTAGGGAAAGGGGCACGTGCTGCGACTCCGTTGAGGTGTCTGTATAGACAGGGCACCGTCTCCTGCAGCAGGAAGGCGGGGCTCGCCAGCCTGCCCGTCTGCCGGGGTGGACGGGGCAGAGCCTCCCACTTCACGCGGCCGTCCTGGCACTCACAGCGACCACCACGTGCAGCCCATGCTGCCTGACAGCCCCTTAGTGTCCCCTGCACGGGAGCCACAGCAGAGCCTGAGTGCCCTCCCAGTTCTGCGATGGCCTTCGTCACCTGACCACTGAGTAAGTACAGCCTCTGGTCTCACACAGGCCAGGCCTCATGACCGCCTCAGCCTCCCTCACGCCCGTAAGGTCACCATTCTCAGCCCTGGCCCCCCACCCCAGTGGTAACAGCTCAAGGCCCAAGGACACCCTGGCCAGGCCACAGCAGTGACCTCCCAGGCCCACCCTGTCTGGGCAAGTAGCTGCTCCTTCCTGAGCCCCCAGCACAGCGCAGAGAACCCATTGGTCTTGGCCATCGTGTGCTGAGGTTCCCAGAAACGCCAATCACCATCTATGGCTGCCAGTCTGGGAAAGATACTCATCTCCGCTGTTCATCAGATGGGGACAGCCTGTCCTGCGATCAAGCCCTGTAGAATTGTTATTTTCTTTCTTTTCTCTCTCCCTTCATCCATCCATCCAAGATAGGGTCTTGCTCTGTCTCCCAGGCTAGAGTGCAGTGGCATCATGATAGCTCACAGCAACCTCAAATTCCTGGGCTCAAGTGATCCTCCTGCCTCAGCCTCCCAAAGTGCTAGGATTACAGGCGTGAGCCACTGCACCTGGCCTGCCATTTTCTTGAGTTTTCAGTCTTTCAAAAAGGACTTTGAAAATTGCATAATTTATAGAAAAATCAGAAATAACAAGCATATATAATGTGTATTTTTTATAAGCACCTATAGTCCAACTACAAGAATTCGAGTTTCAGTACTAAATTTACATTCCAGTCCTGGCAGTATGACCCAGCAAAACTTTAGCAATCACACCTTCCAGCGTTTCCTTTTTCAAGGTCTTAGAGGGTAATGATGCCTCACGGTGACTCACGGTGACTCACCGCAGCGACCTTGGCTCCAGTGTGAAGGTAAATGTTTACCACTTGCCTGGGTCTATGCCACAAACTGTTACAGAAGGACAGAAGGGATCTCTGTAAAAGTGACTCAAACGCAAATGGAAATGAAGGCTGAAAGGGGCGGCCAGCACTGCTTAATGACAGCCGGTGGCAGGCGTCTGGGAGCCGGGACTGCAGGTGCAAGAAAACAAAAGATGCATCCATCAACCAGCCAGCGACGTGTGTGTGTGTGTGGGGGGGTGTAACACGCCCTGGACATGGACAAGTGGCCCTTGGAGAAGTCACTCTGAACTCACAGGACTTGGGTTTTCTCATCAGCAAACACCCGAGCTGCTCCAGGTGTTGGCCTGGCCTCTCCTCTCCAGGGCCATGGGGGAGGAGGGCGGCCCCTCCCCTCCTCCTCTCTGCTGCCTCTCAGCTGGCCCACAGCCTGTGTGACACCAGCGTCCCCTAGATTTCAGGCACATCATACCAGGAAAGGTGTGGCTGTGGGAAAAACACCAGGCCGGGTGGGCACACGCACCCCAGCCGGCCTGGCCATTTGGTAGCCCTGGGGCTGGGTAGCCCCAGCCAGGGCGGGGACTCTGACAACAGTGCAGGCGCTCAGTTTAGACTTGGGGGGCTTGTCAGGAGTGGGGCGCACCTGTGATGGGAGTCAAGATGTGATCAGGAGGAACCTGGGATGGGGCGGTGCAGAGGGGGAGGAAGGGCAAGTACTTGAGCTGAAGTCGCCAGAACTTGGCTGCTAGGGGAACGACAGTGGAAATGACACAAGGCAGCGGCCTGAGAGCACAGCTGGTGGATGGTGAGCGGCGGGAGAGTATCTGGAGAGTGACAAGGCCGGGGTGCAGGGCCGTCTGCAGCAGTGGGCGAGGAGCGCCCAGGGGACCAGGGCAGATCTGGATGGACCCGCGTTTGGGAGGAGTCACGCAGCGTCCCCCCATCACCCCAGCCCCACCTCTGTCTCCTGCAGGGCCGGCTTCCTTGTCCCCCTCCAGCCTGTCCCCAGCGCAGCCCCCCAGGGTCCTTGCCCGCGCCCTGTCCCACCGCGGCTCACTGCACCGGCGGCTCTGCCCCGCCTGGGCCGGTGCGGACCTGAGACTGCCCACCGGGCCACCCGGGCCCACGGGAGACCAGCTGCACTCAGCGCCCGGCCACCGGCTCGCCCCTCTGACTGAGTTATAAAAGTAACACGTGTCCGTAAGGTAACTAGTCTAACAGCTTTACAAGGAAAGTGAAACTTCCTAGCCCTTCCACTCCCTGGAGGCAGCACTTTTAAGTCTTTTAACTCTTGCATTTGGTATTTATCTCCATATTGTTACTTATGCCACTACTTTCTGATGTTTTAGATTATGTCTTGCCTTTCTACCCCAGAAGCAGGCGAGCGTAGTGTTTTAAGGCACAGACTTCAGAACCAAATGGCCTGGGTTAAAATCCTGGCTGTACCACTTAGTGACTGTGCTACTTTAGGCAAATCAATTAACCTCTCTGTGCCTCAGCTCCAACAGTACAGTGAAGTCAGCGCAGCCACCTGCCTCCGGTGGGCTCATCACGGCGTGGGCTCAGCCCAGACCCACGCCGCGCCGCAGCTCGCTCGACACCGCCCTCGGCTAAGGTGCACAGGGTGCCACGGTTCAGCTTCCTTCCGTGCACAACTTTCTGTTTGTCTTGAAATTAAAAATGGCTTCAGATTTGGTTTTGGTTTTGCTGAGGTTTCCGGGACAGTGGTGCAGCCCCCCATTTGCTGGAAGCTCTGTCAGGACCAGGAGCCCGTCTGCTCCAGTCTGGGTCTTCAGGGTCACAATGTCGCCGCCCCCCACCCCATCATACTTATTTCCAAAATCTTTGTCTTGTTCTCTTTCTTAGCATCATGTCCTTCACAGACACAATTTTTTTTTTAAGTTTTCTTTTTTCAGTTCACTGTCTCTATTTCTCCTAAATTCCTGTTTTCTCTGTCGTGCTATCTGCGTTTCTGTAACAGGTTTTCTGCAAATGTCAGTGACCTCTGTCTGGCCTTTCGTATGGAAACTGAGACGCTCTTCAGAAGTGAGGCTGCAGCCTGCATGAGGCACGGACAGCCCGGCAGTAGGAGGCCTTGTGTGGGGACAGCTTTGGGGGGCCCCAATAATCTCCATGTCTGTGGACTTTCCCTTCACCCCCATTTTCAGGCTGCCACCTCACGCGAGGCCTGCCGTTCCCAGTACCAAGGTTAGAATCTAGTCAGCTCTCTGGAAAGGAACCCGCTGTCCTCTGCTGGGTTGGAGGGGAGACTGGGGGATCTCTCTGCTCCTTGTACAGACTTTCAGCCTTTCCCGTTTCTGGCCCTGCCTTTCCTTCCACACCTGTGGCCTATGGTTCTGGAGCTTTCTGGCGTTGCGGCTACTGGTCATCTAACTTCTCGCTCGCTCCTCACCGCGCAGGAACTCGGGTTTCTGGCGTCTCTGGGCTGCTGACTCAGCTACCGCCCACCTCTGTGTTCTGTCTTCCAGATTCTGTTGCCCGCTTTCCTCCTCTGTCTTCATGGGCTGAGTGGCACTTGGGGAGGACGCAGGGACAAAGGAGCCTGTTCCTCCCACTGTCCTCTCCTTCTGCTGCACCACCAGCCCTTCTGCAAGGCACACAGCCCCTCGTATTTAAGAGCCTTGATGTGACCCAGAAAGGAAACCACGGGACAGGAGCTGCTTGCTTAGAAGGCTGGCGGGAAGGTTTTATTCAGATACAGTTAACTAGAGTGTGTTTTAGGTCCCTAAGACGACATCAGTAAGGTGGCAAATGTGGGCACCAGAGAAGGGGCTGGAGCCAGGCGGAGGGTGGGGGCAGGGGTGACTCGCTCTGCCTGCTGAGACCAGCGGGAAAGGGGCAGACAAAGCAGCGACTGCAGGAGAAGGAAAGCCCTGCGCGTCGCATGTAGTGGCGCCGGCACACACGACGGGCCAGACTGCACGAAGCTAAAGTGTCGTGGAGGGGCGACAGCACACTTAGTGGGAGAGAGCTCGTTGGCCTCCTGCAGAGGCCGCTCCTTCTGCAGGAGGTGACATCATCTGCTCAGGAGAGGAGGGTGCCACCAGGGCTGGGAACTTGCACAAAGCAAAGAGGTTAGACGGGTCACATGAGAAACAGCATGGACTTTGGAATAAGAGCGGTAAGATGCCAGCACAGAGCAGGCACTCGGCACACGATGGGCTTGGTTCTTGGTACACTAGAGATTCAACTGCAACAGAAGAAAAGAGGCATTTCATCCAAGAGTGGACAGGCAGGCTCAGGAGAGAGGTCAGAGGACAAGAGTCTGTGGATGGCATTTCTGCGGAGGGCTAATTCCCAGGAGGACCAGGTTTACAGAGCGGGTCCTCTGTGGGCCCTGCTCACAGCACGACTGAGGTCACCTGGGTGCCCTGGGCCCTGCACTAAGTAGTTTATGTGTCATCTTGGTTTATTTCCTTTAAACTCTATAAGGCAGGTGGCATTATCTTCACTTAATAAATAAGGAAACTAAGTGAGGCAGCTTAGATGAGGGCTCAGGGCCCAGAGCTGGGGTGGGCGGCAGCAGGAATGACCCCCGGCCTGCTGGACCACGACGGCCTCCATGGTTCTGCCACTCACACTGACGCGGTGGCCCAGGGAAGGTGGCCCTGTCAAGTGCAGCTGAGGAAAGGACCCCACCTCCCTATACACTTTCCCCCCACTTGTTTTGAATGAATTTTATTTGATAAACCAAATCCTTCTCTGTATTTCTCTTTATTTTGGAGTTCTAAAAATTTGTAATAAAATACACATAACATAAAATTTACTGTCTTAATCATTTTTAAGTATGCAGTTGAGTAGTGTTAAGTATATTTGTGTGTGAAACAGAGCTCCAGAACTTTTTTATCCTGCAAAACTGAAACTCTGCACTCATTAAGCAAAACCCCAGGTAAGGGGAGGCTACTGTACCACACTGTTTTGATTACTGTAGAGTTGCAGTTAAGTTTTGAAATCAGGAAGGATGAGATCTCCAACATTGTTGTTCTTTTTCAAGTTTACTTTGTCTATTTGGGGTCCTTTGAGATTCCATATAAATTTTAGAGTGGATTTTCCTATTTCTACAAAAAATGCCCAGGCAATTTTGATAACAATTGCATTAAATATGCAGATTGGTTTAGGTAATATTGACAATAATATTGTCTTCCAATCATTGAACATGGATATCTTTCCATTTTTTTGTGTCTTAATTTCTTTCAGCATGTTTTGTAATTTTTCAGAATATAGGTCTTTTGCCCTCTTACTCAAGTTTATTCCTAAGCATTCTTTTGGATGCTATTATATATGGAATTTTTTCCTTAAATTTCCTTTTCAAAAGACTGTTCACTGTTAGTGTACAAGACTGCAACTAATTTTTGTGTGCTAATTTTGTATCTTGCAACTTTGCTGAATTCCTTATTTAGTTCTAACAGTTTTTTGGTGGAATTTTTAGGTTTTCTATACAAGATCATGTGGTCTACAGAGTTAAGTTTACTTCATACTTTCAATTTGGATGCTTTTTATCTCTTTTTCTTGCCTAATTGCTTTAGCCAGGATTCCTAGTACTATGTTGAATAGCAGTGGGGAAATCAGGCATCTTTGTTTTCGTTCCTGGTCTTAGAGGAAAAGCATTTATTTGGTCAAAACTGAGTATGATGTTACCTATGGGCTTTTCATGTATGGCGTTTATTATGTTAATTTCCTTCTATTCCTAATTTGTTAAGTGTTTTTACCATGAAATCGTGTTGAATCTTGTTGAGTGTTTTTTCTGTATCAACTGAGATGATCCTGTGGGTTTTTTTACTTCATTCTATTAGTGTAATTTATTACATTGATTGATTTTCCTTTGTTGAACCATCCTTTCATTCCAGGAATAAATACCACTTGGTCAGGGCATATAATCCTTTTAATGTGTTGAATTGTTTGCTAGTATTTGTTTAGGATTTTTTCATTAGTCTTCATCCAAGACATTAGTCTGTAGTTTTATTTCTTGCAGTGTCCTTGTCTAGCTTTGGTATCAGAGTGCTACTTGCCTCACAGAATGAGTTTGGAAGTATTCCTTCCTTTTCAGTTTTTTAGAAGCATTTCAGGAGGATTGTTATTAATTCTTTTTTTTTTTTTTTTTTTTTTTTTTTTGACCAGAGTCTCGCTTTGCTTGCTCCAGGCTTAGAGTGAGTCGCGTTGGCGTCAGCCTAGCTCCACAGCAACTCCAAACTCCTGGGCTCGAGCGATCCTCTGCCTCAGCCTCCCCGAGTAGCTGGGACTACAGGCTGCGCCACCCATGCCCGGCTAATTTTTTATATATATATCAGTTGGCCAATTAATTTCTTTCTATTTATAGTAGAGACGGGGTCTCGCTCTTGCTCAGGCTGGTTTTGAACTCCTGACCTTGAGCAATCCGCCCGCCTCGGCCTCCCCAAGAGCTAGGATTACAGGTTGAGCCACCGCGCTGGCCTTGTTATTAATTTTTTTTTTTTTTTTTTTTTTTTTTGAGACAGAGTCTCACTTTATTGCCAGGCTAGAGTGAGTGCCCATGGCGTCAGCCTAGCTCACAGCAACCTCAAACTCCTGGCTCAAGCAATTCTCCTGCCTCAGCCTCCCCAAGTAGCTGGGACTACAGGCATTCGCCACCATGCCCGCTAATTTTTTGTATATATATATTAGTTGGCCAATTAATTTTTTCATATTTATAGTAGAAGACGGGGTCCATCGCTCTTGCTCAGGGTGGTTTCGAACTCCTGACCTTGAGCAATCCGCCCGCCTCGGCCTCCCAGAGAGCTAGGATTACAGGCGTGAGCCACCGCGCCCGGCTTATTAATTCTTTAAATGGTAGAATTCACCAGTGAAGCCATCCATCTGGTCCTGGGACTTTTCTTTTTTTGGGAGATTTTTTTGACTATGCTTCAGTCTCTTTACTACTTACTAGTTATAGGTCTGTTCACATTTTCTATTTTGTCATGATTCAGTCTTGGTAGGTTGTGTATTTCTAGGAATTTGTCTGCTTCATCTAGGTTAGCCAATTTGTTGGCATACAATTGTTCATAGTACTCTCTTATTGTCCTTTTTATTTCTGTAAAATGAATTATAATGTCCCTTCTGGTTTCAGTTATTTAGGTCTCCTCTGTCTCTCAATATATATATGTATGTGTGTGTGTGTGTGTGTATTTATTTATTTTAATTTAAAGGTTTGCAATTTTGTTGATCTTTTCAAACAACCGACTCTTGGTTTCACTGATTTTCTCTATTGTTTTTCTACTCTCTATTTTGTTCATCTCTAATCTTTATAATTCCTTTCCTTCTGCTACTTTTGGGTTCCTTATTTCCCTGTACTCTAGTTCCTCATCTGTCATGTTCAGCCCATTTCCAAGACTGCTATGAGGATCACAGCCAATAGGAGCCAATGCCTCTCAAAACCACAGTCAGGAGTAACCGAGAACGTGTTACTCCTGTTACTCATTCTGGCCATGAGAGTGTTGGGTCCTCTGAGAATCATGTTACTATGTCTTCAGCCTTGCTCCCTGCTACCAAGACAGTTTTCTCTGTGACACTGGGTTAGGGTCAGAGTCTTCGATAAAATGTAAGTCTATCTATTACTAAATAATAGATAGAAACAACTATAGGGGAGCCATTTGAGCTTTTCCAGAGCAAAACAAAGATTGAACTTTGTCTCTGCTTTAATGTGAGATAGATGCGCCCAGGTAGGTCTGAACCACGATCCTGAACACCAGCACTGTGGGATCAGACACAGTGTGGGCCCAGCCCTCAAAGGGAACTACACTGTGCAGAGTGGACTTAGAGTTCCATAAATGGACATTTAGGGACACAGTAATGGCAAGTGTAAAAAAATACACTGTGGCATGATGACAGGTCCGAATCGAATTCCCATTTCCACCACTTAGCACCTGTAGGACTTTGGGAATGTTATTTCAAGTCTGTGAGCTTTTATTTCCTATTTTAAACTGGGTTCATCACACTTCCACTCAAGAACAACCTCCACTGCCCACCGACTGTGTGCCAGGCACAAGCCTCCAATGAATGTGAATTCCCCTTTCTCCTGCCCCCTCATTTATCAGGGTAGTCTAGCATATCTGCTAACTATATTCTTCTCAACAAAGCCCCTTAAAAATAAAAATGAATACATTATAAGTAAGAGAGGGAATCAAGGTATATGAAGTAGTAGTTGTGGCCTTAATAATTTCTCAAAACCAAAGGAATATTTGGAAAGGTGGTAGTACATAGAAATGATGGTAATTAGGCCACAGAATGATAACTCTGGCACTGTGGAAAATCACCTCAGTAACTTCCTTCTTTGTCTTCTTCTTCTTTTTTTAACTAATCCTGTGACAGATTAAGCTCAGTAACTTGCTTGTGTAGAAGATAGACTATTTCCATAAAAGAAAAGTAGGCAATGAAAGTTAACCTTCTCTTCTAGGAACTAATTTAGGAATGACTAACTTATTTTCTACATTTTACTTACTGAATTCAGTAAATGTATCCTTTATAATATTAAATTAGTTTGAGGATACTATTTATGCAATAAAAAAGAAAATTAATATTCTGCATTTCTGGCTTCTTTCATAAGAAAAACATCGTTACCTTTCTGATTGTGTTTTGAACAGCACACACAGATCCTGCAGGAAGAGACCTGTCCCTGTGGGGATTGAGAGAGGATCAGAGTTAAGCACCAAAACAAGCAATTAATTCCCATTAGAGGATTAAGGCACTCATGTTCACTTTGAATCAGAAAAGCAAATTGTGAATAAAATGGTGTACGAGCAAGAGGTTACTTGTCCGAGTTAATAAATTAGAGAATTGAAGGGTAACCCCAGCGGCCACACGGCCTGCTGGAGAGGAAGGAGGAGAGTTTCGTATCCACGGGGCGAGAAGGCCATGATGCTGTGCAGATCGGGGGAGCAGGGTTTGTGCCGTGTGATCGGCCTTACTCCAGCAGATGGAGCCGGAGGAGATACGCCTAGAAGCGGTTTCCAGCCTGTTACGTCACCGTCCCTCGCACATGGGTCTCCTTATAGCATCTTGCCATTAATACGCAGAATCATTCAGTTTGGAGAAATGTATCTGGGGGCCCCAGAGCTGATTCTAAGGGAGCTTGAACCACATCTCTGCAGACGACGTGGCCCAGGCATTACGGAAGGGGGGCCTGCCGCTGTGCCCAGAACGCAAGCCACACCTCTGTCCCAAACCCACTGGCCGGGGATGATGTGGACATCCTGGGGTCAGCACGGAGTGGAACAGGCCCAGAGAGAGTCTCCAAAAGCTTTAGTTCAGCAAAATCTGGTGAGTTTAACATTGTCAATATTTAAGAAAACAAACACACTTATGAGATGCCCATCTGGCCTGGCGCTGCTTGAAATGCCTCTGCCACTTAACTCAGCAGTTTTCTTTCTCGAAACACAGTCCGTCTATAGTTTCGTATTTCATCAAAGAAGCAAAAATTGAAAGTGATTATGAGTTCTTTGCATAACTGTTGGATTTTTCTTGCTTAATTTTTTTTCTTAGCCACCTGGTGGCAAGAGTGTAAAAGGCAGGATTTAAGAGTTTATTAGGACGGTTTACAAATTGCAACTACTGCGTATGCCTGCTCCACATTTAGAAACACACATACACATACCAGGTGGAACAAGGAAAGGGTTAATATTTAACTCTGCTTAAGCTAATCTGCAAAAGGATTTTAAATGAATACCAGCTTCTAACATAAAAACCACCTTTTAAAAAAGATTCCTCAATAAAATATTCATCCTGTATGTATTAAAAATTAATGACAGGAGGAAATGTTAGTAAAATCTATATGTCATCACTTCAAAGTGTCTGTTTTCTCCATGTGATGAACCATCAGACCACTAACAACGCGTATTGCCAGTTGTCAAGACTGGGTTAGAAAAAACAAAAGTAAAATGACTGGATTTGGGTGGCTTGAAGTACGGGTCCCTGCCAGAGCAGGCTCTGCCACTCGCCACTGGCTGAGGGAGAAATCGTTTCAGAACTAGAAACGCCAGGTCCAGAGACCTGCCTGGCAGAGAGCGTCGCCCTGTCTTTACGTGTGCTGCGTTAATTAGCTTTCGTCATTCATTGCGTCCTCATTGGCACCGGCAGGACCTTGGCCTGCCAGCTCCACGAAGGGCACAGAGACCGCAGCGAGGCCACCCCGTCACACTGCATGCTGGTTTCAAGCCTGGCAACGGCTGCCCTGGTCCTTGTGTGACCACCAGTAGCCACACGCTGGGTGCTGGCCTCGAGCAAATGCAGATGTCCCCAAGTGTGGTGGAAATGTGGTGAGAAGCATATGTGATGCTGGGCACGTTTACCCCAGGGAAGATTTCTCTTATTTTATAGAACCCTTCCTGCATCTCAGTTGAGTAGCCACTTCCCCTCCCTCCCCCACTGTAACATTATTTTCCCTGGAGAAAATGCCGAGTGTCTGATATAGTTACACATTAATTCTTCAAAAGTTTCTTAGAACTGTAGGAAACAGGTGAAAAAACAAAATGCCTTGAACTTTCAACTCGAGCCTGGCCTGGGAGCATGCCACGAGCTCAGGGTCACTCTTCCCCGCGTGGCGCTCGGGGCGACGTGCCAGGGAGGGCTCCGGGCCGCATCCTGTTGGCGCTTTGATGCTTTCATTTTGTTGCCTGCTAGTTTCTTTATAGCAAAGACAGGGGCTTCCTGCTCAAGCAGCTCCCTCGCCAGCCCCGCTGAATACCCCGGAAAAGTGTGTGGCAAAACACCTTTCTTACATTAAGCGCACAGGCCCCGGTGACACCCCGGCCCTTTGAAATCAGAGGCTGGGGTCTCCCCTCCGCAGTTGTTTGCTCAAAACTATGCACTTTCACAGGTCTGTGAAAACAAACGGGCGCCGCATGGTCCCTGATGCCATCTCAGGCCCTCTGAATGCTGCCATAGCAACCACTGTTGGCCATGCCAGAAATTAACGATTTTTTTCATGCCACATCACTTTAAAGACAATTTGTGTTACCACCTTTAGAACATACAGTGACCAACAAGGACATGACCTCTGTCGCAGCCCCGTGCCCACTTAGAGAGCAAGGAAAGGGATGGCTGGACAATCCCAAGGCGCCGTGCTGGGAAGGCGCTCTGTGCGGGCGGGCAGGACAGGGACTGGCCGGGCCGCCTGGTGTGCAGCCAGCGCTGCCAGGGCCTCGGCCCCACATTCCGGGCGCGGCCGGGCATGGAGGTGCTGCCAGCCCCGCGGCTCCCGGCAGGCGGCTGAGGAGGCGCAGCGGAGGCCTGGCAGCGGGAGCCAGAGCCACGAGCTTGGGCCGGGGCGGGTGGCCAGCAGGCCTGACACCAGAGAGAAGGTGCCAGTCAGCCTCATACTCAGAGCCCCTCTGCCCTGCGGGACCCCGGCACCACCTGCCTGCCCCACCTGGAGCTCCGAGTGACCCAGAACAACACTGCCACCCCAGCCTCACAATGTACGTGTCACTAACAGTCTCAAATTAGGGCTCAAAACAACAAATGAGATCTTCTCGGCCCCCAGCAGGTCCCCTGTTTACAGATGAGGAGGTTGAGACACAATGAAGTGACTATACAAGGTGACCGGGAAGGTGGCGGAGCCTTCACACCCCCTCCTGACCGCCATGTCCCTGAAGGAGGGCAGCCCTCACTGCCTCAGGGCCCCAGGCAGCCAGTGGCCTGGGCCACCCCCACACCAGGCTCCTGTCACGTTCCCCCATGACCGGGGTCCTTAGGGACACGACGAACACCCTGTGCTGCGGCCTGGCTTGCGCTGCTTAATTAGCACTCAGAAGCTGCCACGGTCCTGAAATTCTCTATTTTACCTTAGAACTTGTGTTTTGTGAGTGAAGTCTCTAGGACAGTGCAGCACTCTCGTTAGAAGAGGAGACCAGGGCGGTGGACCTGGGCAGGAGGCCTGGGTGCGCCACCACCGCACTCCACCACCGCACTCCCGCCACACTGCCCGCTGCAAGCAGAGCCCGCTCCCTCGGGGAGGAAGCAAGGGCGCCCCAAGGACATGAGCACGGAAGGACCTTATCACGTCCTCTCCTACTGGGCTTGGCCGCCACATGCTCGGAAAACGGCTATACAGGAGACTGGGGCACCCATCGGGAGGCCCAGGGTTCCTGTCCCTCTGCACCTTCCTCCCCCACCCGCGCTGGGAGAGCTGGCGCACGTGAAGAAGTGAGATGCAAACAGCAGAGTTAGTCCTCCGGTAAGAATAAAATGCACATGCCCGCGTGCATGCCCAGGTTATGAAAGACTGCTATTTCTGTAATTCCACGTACAAGTTAAACGCTCTAATATATGCACTTAAACTTGAAACCAACATTGTACAATATAAAGTGAGTGATAAACACCATGCAGAAATTTTAGCTCCCTCTTTTAGTCCCTTTAACTGCTCCCCTCCCCACAGCTCCTCATTCTCACTGTGCACTGCCTCAACCCCCACCAAGGGATCTGCTGTCCCTGAGCTTCCCTAAACCACAGCTCCTCCAGGGTGGGGCCACTTCTCTTCATTTCGTGCCTCTGTGTCATCTAGCACCATTCAGCACATGCAGTAGGCACTTCATAAATACTTGCTGCAGGAGACCAAGTGGTCATCCTCACTCAGTCCAGATTCCCAAAGAGGCACTGCAGGCCTTCTCTCTGTTTGGAATCTCTCATGTTCTCTGGGTCGCAGGGTGACACAAGTTCAAACACAGCCCCAGGTGCAAATCTCCAGGTGTTGTATTCGGTGCCCCGGGCTCTGCCACCACTTCCTTGTCACCAGGGGCCAAGTGCTGCAGACCCTTAGACCTGGACTACCCGGCAAGCATCAGTGCAACCCTTACAGACACTGCGACAATGAAATGCCACCAAGAACCCACAGCACTCAGAGCACAGGGGGTGAGGAGGGGCCCTCGATGCAGAGGTTCCTGGAGGGGGGAGGGGGAACATTTGTCAGAATCATCGACCTGTGCACTTAATCTGTGATTTTGGTATAAGATATACCTCAAAGAAAGCTGACCTAAAAAAAAGACTACGGGAACTCATGGAGGGAAGGCAGCCTGCAGCCTGCAATTATTATTGCCGGTGACTATTCCTACCCAAGTTCAACAAGCTTTATGGTCCTGAATCAAAAGCAGGAGCTCCTCGGCTTTTCTTTAGGGTTTCCATAAGCATCTCAGCCTATCCAGAGTATTTCTAAAAATGAATTGTAGTGGCTTTCTGGAACCCAGCATTCAATAATACAAAGTGAGCATGGGAGACTTCCCTGCCCTCGGACCTGGGCCCAGGAAAGGCAGCAGAGTGAAGGTCTCGCAGCCCAGAGACAGGGCCGGGGTGCACGCCACCCCGCAGGCTTGGGCTCTGGGGCTCTCTCCCCACCCAGGGCTGGGTGCACACTGGCTGCTGACTAAGCAGTGGTTTCCTATAGTGGGCTACTAGGAAGCACAGCAAAGGATCTGCCTTTTAGAATAATTTTCTAGGCCTGCTGGAAGAGCGGCAGCTGCTCACGGTACGTTTGTTCTGTCTGGAGCAGCAACACCCCTCCCGGGTCACGGAGGAAGAGCCAAGAATCTGTACCTTGTCCCAGCTCGCCCTGCCCTTCGCTGGTTAAATAGGACACCCGGGTCTGGCTGAAGGAGGCAACTTGTACTCTATCTACCTTGTGTG